CCGGTCCCCTGCAGCGCCGGGGCGGGGAACTCGGAAGCACCCGGCATCTCTCCCCCGGCCGGGCCTCTCACCTCCCACCCCCGGAGGCCACCTGGCCTCGGTGGAAGCGCATCTCCTGGCCCGCGCGCCCGCCCCGAAGTGTGACCTACTTTAAACGTGACCTACTTTTTAAGAACCGTGAGCTGTCACGGGAAGAGCGGACCCAACGTTTCGATAACCATTTTTCTTTGAAATGCTATTTGATTGCCTCTTCACTCAAAAGCTCGCAAGGTCAACGGCCACTTGGAGTGGAAGCCGTGGCTCCGTGGATGGGGTGGGCAAGGGGGCGCGGTTTGCAAGCCTTGCCTGGCGCGCCCCCTGCCGGCCCGGGGAGGAAGCGCAGGCAGGCGCCCAGCCTTGGGCCCGAGCCCGGAGAAATGAATGGTTTAGTCAATCACTCTCTTGCCTTTGGGTGGATAACCACGCCCAGGATAAGCCGGAGCGCCGGAGGGACGTTCGGCTGACAGAAGGCTTTGCCAGCCGTAGAGTTGTGCGCATGGAATCTTGTTTTGTGTTTTAGAGAGACTCTTTGATGGGGAGGGTGGAGCTAATTGAACCCGAGTTAAAACCCTCCACAAAATAACTGAATCATTTTACCCTCTGTCGACCTCTGGCCTTTTATATGGCATTAAGGGCTAGACTTGGGTCTGGGTGAGGGACTGGGCTGGGAATGAACTAAACAGAGTGCATGTGGAGTTTGTAGTCTGAGGCCCCAAACCTTTTTATTTTATTTTATTGAGACAGGGTTTCACTATGTTGCCTAGGCTGGTCTCGAACTCCCCAGCTCAAGGGATCCTCCTGCCTTGACCTCTCAAAATGCTGGGATTACAGATGTGAGCCACCATGACCAGCCAGATCTCTTTTGGTTTTTATTTTTCGAGTTGGGGTCTCACTCTGTCACTCAAGCCGGTGGGCAGTGGCACTATCATGGCTCACCACAGCCTCAACCTTCTGGGTTCTGGTGATCCTCCCTCCTCAGCTTCCCAAAGCACTGGGATTACAGGCACAGGCAGCCACCACGCCACTCCAAAGTCGAGGGTTTTTTTAATTTTTTTATTTTATTTATTTATTTTTTTTTTGTGAGTTGGAGTCTCACTCTGTCTTCCAGACTGGAATGCAGCGGCCGCTCCCGGCCACCGCAGCCTCGACCGGCTGGACTTCAGCGATCCTTCCGCCTCAGCCTTCCGAGTAGCCGGAATTACAAGCATGCGCTACCACGCCCGGCTAATTTTTTGATTTTATTGTAGAGATGAAGTCTCGTGAATTTTTGGGTTTTTTTTTTTTGAGTTGGAGTCTCACTCTGTTGCCCAGGCTGGAGTGCAGTGGCACACTCACAGCCACCCACTCATTGACCCACTGGGCTCCAGCGATTCTTCCATTTAAGTCTTCCAAGTAGCCAGAACTACAGGCACGCTACCACGCCCGGCTAATTTTTGATTTATTGTAGAGTCAAGGTCTCGCCAAGTTGCCCAGGCTGGTCTCAAACCTGTGGGCTCAGGCAATCCACTCATCTTGGCCTCCCAAAGTGCTGGGATTACAGACTGAACCACCGAGCCCAGCCTGTTTTTGACTTTTGTTTCTGACATTTCTCAGCAATGCCCAGCGTTTTGTTGGCCTTTTTAATCCTCAAGAAGCACATATGGAAGCCACTTAGGAAAATGTTTATTAGAGTGAAGAAAAGAACATGAAGTTGTATCTATGCTCTGATGACAGCATTATGAAATTATGTATGCATGTGAGCAAAAGCAGAAAGGAGTGTGGAGAAAGAGCCCAGCTGATTTTTTGTAGGGTGACAGGATGTTGGTGGGTTTTTAAATGTGACTTTCCTTGACGCTGTTCCAATATTTTTTCCCCTTTTTTTCTTAGTTGACCCATAATAGTGGTACATATTTATGGGACATAGAGTGGTATGTGTATACAATGTGTGGTCATAAAATCAGGGAGATCAGCATATCCATCACATGAAACATCCGTCATTTCTTTGTGTTGTAAATATTCAAAACCCTCTCTTCTGGGTTTTGGAAAACCTATAATATAGTATGGTTAGCCACAATCCCCCCCAGCACTGCAGACCCCAGAACTCATGCCTCCTGTCTAGATGGGATTTTTGTATCTGTTCACCAACCTCCCCCATCCTACCCACCGCCTGCACTTCCCAACTTCCAGTATCCACAATCCTACTCTCTACTTCTGGGAGCTCAACGTTGGTGCCAGTATTTTCGATAGTCATTGTTTTCCCAAGATTGCACATGGGCCAACATCTTCGATTATTCCTGGGGAGTGGAGTGTGGTTTGGAGAGCCCCTGACTCCAGTCCCAAAGGCTGTCGCCTGACCTCCAGACCCACCACTCAGCATATCCAGCTTTTATGTCCCCAACTGAGATCTGATAACCCCTCTCCTCCTTAAGACAACAACAGGATCAAATATGGTAAATCCCCTACATACGAACCTTCAAGTTGCGAACTTTCAAAGATACGAACGTGTGTTCATATGTCTAGTCACATAAGTTAGTTCACATGTCAGGTGTCCATTATCTCGGTACATCTCTACAAGTGGTTGTGTTTTGTGTACTTTACAGGACTGTATAGAGTACAGTAGCACAGTACCTTTTTTCTAGGCCTAGGATGTCCAGAAGCAAATGTAAAGCAACGGTGATGTGGTTGATTTTGTAGAGCTAGTTGTATTAGTTGGTTACTTAGGCTAACTTTGTGGGACTTACAGACCAATTGGACTTAGAACATGCTCTTGGAATGGAACTCGTCTGCATATAGGGGACTATTCCTCCTGTGCTGTCTACCAGTCAAATGCCTCTGAGTCACCATTAAGTGCCCTCTTCCTCACACCCCACATCCCCCATCCCCACCTTTTATTCCAGTTTCACAGCAAACCCAGAGCTGAGACACCTGCCCGTGTCCACCCTGCAGCAGAGCCGCTGCCCTGGCCTCAGCCTGGGTTACTAGGCAGCCCTTGAGTGGCCCCCTCTGCCCCTCCAGCACAGCGGCCAGCGTGAGTCCCCAGAAACCAGGTCATTTCGTGTCCCTATGCCATGCCAGCCCAGGGGGCCACCTAGCACCTGAGTAGACTCAAATCGTGGCTGGCTTGGGCCTGCAGGGTGGCTCCCCCAGCATCTCTGAGCTCATCCCCTGCTCTGTTCCTCCT